GAGTATAATAGATATAGAGATTGAGAACTATGTATTAATAGAGAGAATAAAAAAGGCAAGACAAGTAGTAGAAAAGACACACAAATGATATGTTATTTAAGGTGAGAAAGATCCTCAAATCCACTATATGCAAATGTAGTATAAAGGTAGAAAGGCTTATGTATATTTATGGCTTCTTGTGTATGTATAAAATCTTATCCCTAAAATTTATAGTTGTAGATGTAGGTTGAAAAAAAGGGTCAAAATATTCAAGAACTCCCTTCATCGTATATAGGATTTCCTAGAACTTTTACAAACCATATCTTTTAGGTGAATTCAATTTCAAGAATTCTCTAATTAAAATGTTTAAGAGGTAATTTCAGAGAAATCATAAGTATAAATAACCTTGCGTGTTTTTTTTTTTTTTTAAAAAAGCTTCTAGTATATGTATAAATGCTCCACCAAAACAAGAAGCCTATAAAATTTGAGCCACCCAACAAATAAAGCTTAGGGCCTGTTCTCATTGACTGAACTCAGCTGAACTGAACTGAATTGAACTGAACTGAGCTGAACTGAATTGAACTGAGCTGAGCTGAACTGAACTTAATTTCAACGTATGTATGAGAACAGGCCCTAAGGAGGATTGCTTTAAGCATTATCTAATGGTTTTAATAGACTTATTACACAAAATTTTACCATGTTGACTTATCTAAATAACATATAGATTAGAATAAACCAAGATGAATTATAGTATTAGCATACAAATATCAATTAAAATAATTATTAGGACAATAATGCATTGGCGAGCAACAAAGGAAATATATGAATTTTTAAGGTAGTCCCATTATTTGGACTAGAGAGTTGGTTATAGGGTTAGGCTAATACGAGAGTTAATTAGATATGATCATATGATACAATGTTGAAACCCATTATAGCCCACTTATGAGTGTCCCACATTGGAGAAAGATGAGAGATTGTTTCACTTTATAAGGTAGAAGAGTACCTCCTACTATTACCAATTGGTTTTAGTATGGAAGCTCCAAAGCCTTGTTTGTGGACCAAACTCTCCTCCTCCTTGTTCGGATTGCTCGGACCCATTTCATATTGTTTTGAAATTTAACAAGGTATCAGAGCCCAGGTTGTGGGTCTCTTCTAAACTGGGTATTTAATCGCTACTGGATAAGGATTTACCTTGATAGGATGTCCAGCCCCTAAGAGGATTATTGATCTGGCCTTATCCAGTTAGCTTTGAAGTTCTAAGGACACTCATAAGTGAGGGGGAGTGTTGAAACCCATTATAGCCCACTTATGAGTGTCCCACATTGGAGAAAGAGGAGAGATTGTTTCACTTTATAAGGTAGAGGAGTACCTCCTACTATAGCCCACTTATGAGTTATTTTTCATGTTGTGTGAGAATTCATTTTTCCTTTGGAATTTTCTAATCAAACACAACATATTTTAGCTATTGTCTAAGAAGTTCCAATTCCAAGGAAAATATCTTCCAATTAACCAAATAAATACATATTATGTGCAACCAATGAATATTACATGTCATAATTCTTTTGTTGCACATAATAAGAACGAAGATAGTATATTAAATTATCAATCACAAATCCTATATAATAAGACTATTTAGTTTGTCACAAATATGACTTGGTTTAGCGTCAGGCACGGTAGCACGATACACAAGCCTACATAACCTGACCCATGCTCAATTTTAATTAGAACTGAGCCTAATTGAGTCATAGGTCGGTTAGTTTAGTCAATGCATAGAATGTTAAAATCTACCCAAGGACCCAACAATTAGCAATTCTTAAACATGCATTATTTTACTCAAATCATGTTTTGTTGAATGAAATTATCCACCGAACCACACCAGGGACAAAGGTTATAAATTCGTGATCAAATTCCGTCCACATCACTATTGTGAGAACTCTACAATTATGATTCCACTTAATTTTCAGTTTTTTCAGTCTGCCCTCAAAAATTAAAATGCACTTCTTACTTCATATTGTTCTAAACTACACAGATTTATTAATTGAGATTTCGTGCAATTTGTCTCATATTTTTGTCCACTATCTTCCCAATACATGATCACGTCATTCTTCAATGTGATCACCTAATGATGTGATGCCAATTCTTCCCATTTGAAGAAATTTATAAAACGTTACTGTCTTTTTTGATGGGCATGAATTTAGAGAATCTGGATTAATGCTGATGTTTCAACACCCAGATTATGGAAATTTCAATTGCAGTTAATTTGAACTACTGTTGTACTATTTTGGTGGCATTTACATTTTGGAACTTGATTTTTTGAAGGAATTTTTGGTAGAGTCTTCCAACTGTTTGATAAAATGCCTGAGAGAAGTTTTCTGCTGTTGGGCCACATGGGTTTTTTTTTTAGAGTGGGTTTCACAATCAGCTGGCATTATGAGGTAATTGGGTAGGTGTAATAATGTTCCTCTTTTATTATGATTATCAAATGTTTTTCTTTTCTTTATTTTTTAATTTGATGAAATGTGGTTTATATGAAAAGTTGTTTAATTGATATTGTGGATTTCTTGTTCTTTTTGTCATTTCAAAGGACCCGAAGATTAGTGTTAGTAATAAAGATGGGATCTTTGATTTGTTGATGCTATCAGGTGGTTGTTTTCCTCTTCAAAAATTTGCATTAGGGTCATTTTGCCTGGTCATAATCATTTGGTGTTTAAATTCTAGGCAATTATAGCATTTGACGGAAAATGTCACCTCATTTCTCGAAAACTATCCTCTCATAACTCGCAAGTTAATCATGAAAGTTACCCCGTCTTTCTATACTAGTTGTCTTACAGCTTGAGAGAGTAAAGAGACCAAATAACTCGCAAGTTACTTTTGAAAGGTACCCTTTCTTTTGATAGTCTTATAAGTTACAATCAGAGAGAATAATGAGACCATATATAAAAGTTCTTGGTTTAGCAATCACTTGTTTCCCTGGCCTATGTCAATGAAACTAACTCTTATTGCTGCTGCTAAATTGATTTAAGTTGCTCATAAGTCTAGGTTCGCCTTTTGTATCTGGGTTTCTCAAAGATTACACATTATTTGGACCAATATATGACTAGTTATGTTATTGATGATACTATAAGAAGTCATGACTACTAGAATTCACAGTTTGATGAGAGTTGCTACCATGTAGTTTGATTGGCTGACTGGTATCTTACACCAGCAGATCGTGTAAAGGTCGCTTTATTCGTGCTTTGTCAAATCTTATGGGAATTTAGTGAAGCATGCCAGAAATTTATAATTCAGTTCGTACTGGTCCGTTGGTTCCAGACCCACCATTACACAAGTTCTTTTGTCTTAAGCAGCCTGATCTCTATTGTGTTGATTTATCCTTTTATGTTACTGTTTTGTTATGTAGGCATTATGGTAGGTTTGGAGCTTTTTAGTACTTATTAGTTTTTGTTTCGAGAGTCCTTTTCTTATGCTGCTTTCCTCAGCATTATGTCATATATCATGTTTGACAGCTATGTTACTCTTGTGCCTTCTCCTGTCAACTGAACATTATGTTCTATATCTAGTTTTTGTGTTTTGGAGGAAAAGAGGAGTGCTTCCGAACATACTCACATACTGAAGCTTTCAACACTCATATATCATTGACATCCTGGATTTCCCGATTATTTTTAAACAGCTTACCAACATCTTTACAAAATTAAGAAGTACGAATAGTTGGGTGTGTCCAATTGCTGATTTTTGTAACACAACATCAATAGTGTATCTCAGGGTAAGCTTTAGAAATTCCAGCTCTACTTAGCATAGACTTATTGACAGCTCTATTAGTCCGTATCAGTTTATCATCAATTATGTGCTGCTTAGTGCTTACTGGAAACCTGTGGCCAGGAAAACTCTTTTTCTCACTGGTATCAACTATTTATAGTTGTGTTCTGTGTTTATCATTAATCTTATATTAACGTTATTATGATCTTAGTATCACTAAGAAGCTTCTGAGAACAAACACCCGGTTGGCTTGGGGTTATACGGTTATGAAGTTCTAGTTTTGCTTAGCAGCTTTGGCTGTTTATCTGTCACTCTGCTTGTCACACTAAGTATTCTATCCAGAGCTGCAAAAATTAAGGAAAATTTTCAAAGTTTTCACTTGGGATGTAATTGCTTTTTTTTTTTTTTTTTTTGGATTAGCCGATGTATAGTACCTACTTTTCTTATCATTTCTTGGGATACCTCAACTAATTAGCTTATTGACTCCTGAGAAGTACAGAGAGAACCTTATCATGTTAGCTTCATAGGAAGTGCAATGTACAATTGGCAAATAATATGAAGAGCTTATCCATAGGAGACTTTATTGAAGAGCATGAACAGAACATGAAGGCCACATTTAAGGAAACCGTAGCTTCTATTTTCGTATGCTTATTATACCACATTGAAGTATTCTTCCATGGTTTGGTGAATTTATAGCAGCCCACTGCCTACCCTGGTTTTGCATCCAAACTATCAGTTAGCCATCCAAAAGTTACAAGCAATTAGGTTGCACATAAAGCTTTAGATGTCGTTTTATTAGATGGCTTCTATTTTATCTATTCTCTGGCTAGAGGGCAACAGTCATTGAGTTATGAGTTATAACATATTATTTTTCCCGCAACTTCTGTAAAGTCATCAACCATCATCACTATCCAAAAGTTTTGATAAGCAACTAACTGTAGCCTAAACATTGCATCTAACTATGCTGTGTATGGTACAGGTGTTGTTTGGGGTTAGCAGATATTAGATAGCATATAACAATTTCTATAAAAGTAGATTCTGTTAGTATTTTTGACATGGAACTAGCTCAGAGCAAATAACAAATTCTGTAAAAGTGTTCAGTTGATTAACACCTAGCTATGGATTTTTTTAAAAATTGTTCTGAACGATAGGCGTGCATTTTGCTTTATAAAGTAGCATAAGCCATAAGGTTAATAATAGATATTTATGGGTTAATTACGTATTTCGGACTCTTACAAAAATATGCCTTCAAAGAGAGTAGTTTAATCTCCACTACTTTTACGGTTTACCCTTAACCAAATATTACAAAAGCATAGATTGACTCGTCAAGGCTGTTACTTGGAGTCTAATTTACTCTTGTTCCTTACAATTCACTCTTTACCAGACATTTTCTTGCAGAGTGTGCTGGCATATACTGACATAGCTTTGTTGTGTTTGCATATGTTTACATTATATGTCTAGTTAGATATTATCATTTTAGTCATCATAAAATGCTGGCAAATTTTTTGTTTGTACCACTGGTAGTGCTTTTATGGTATAAATACTATAAACAAAGATTTCATGCTATTCATTTGTAATAATGTCATGTAAGACATAAACTGTATCAGATAAGACTGATGTTGAAACACTGAAGGGCAATGATTGGGCTGGAATTCTGCAAAAGAACTCAAAAATTCTACCTGAAATGCTGACAATTTGAAGGGAATATGCTTATCAGGAGCTATTAGAAGCAGCAGGTACGTTTTGTTGTTTTATGAGTATAATAAAAGGAATTTTACCAGATTGTGAAGTGAGATGTACAATAATGGCATATACTTTGTATAAAATATGCTGTCAAAAAGGTAAAGAGATAACAGATCCTTGATTCAATCACACTATGAACCTTGGTATGCTTCACCTGTAAGCATTGGTGACCTCATGATTCCGAAAACTCTGGAAAATTGATTATTGAACTAAGAATTGCCGCCGTTCAGATTTCAATGGTTGTCTGATTAAGGGCAGTGTATCGCCATCTCTCTTTCTCCACAAAGTCTGCATCCAAGAACTGAGCAACAAAAGCCCAAAGCTTGTAAGCATCTGCAAATGTGGCAATGAATCCGAATGCAGCTGTAACTACTCTTATACCTAGGTTTTCTTTTCCTTTCTTTTTGTTTCCTGGGTTTTCCTTTGCTTCACATCTTCTCTTCTCAAGAACACTAGACTTTTGGTGTTCATACTTTTCTGGAAACCAAATATGATGCAGAAAACCATAGCTTAATGATATGCTTTTCCTATCAGCAAGTTTCTGTATTAGAATAGGCTCAACCTTTTCGCCTTTCCAATCAAACAAATTGAAAGCCAAGGCTGGTCCTCGATCAAACTTTATCTTTGGCCCATATATTTTTACCAAGGGAACTGCCCTTTCTGCATTTGGGTGCTGGAGCTTTGTTAAACCATTAATGAGCCAATTGACAAGGTACCTGCTCCTACTATTTACCAGTGAGAGCCCCAATGCATCAATATGATCCAAGCACCTACATTCAACGAGTGAATTCCTTTTTCTGCGGATTACCGTGCTTCGTCGCTCAACAAAAAGATCACTACCTTCATCTATCACTTCAATTTCTGAGATTTTTTGTCCATTGATCTTGACTCTTGTATCTTTATTCCTTACTGACGTAGAGGACTCTCCTTTTTCCATTGTCGGTGCTTGGATGGATATAGGACCAGAGAAGGAATTTGATGATGATGAGCCGCCCAACTCAAGCTCTTGTTCAAACTCTGTTTCAGTGCCAGAAGATTCTTCAGGCAGGTAAAATAACTTCCTTGCTGAGACAATACTTACAATTCCAGCAGAAGTTGAAGTTTCCAGGATCGAAATGGCTGATTTCTTGACAAAGAGACACCCAAATCCAGATGGGTTCTCCCCAAAAACCTTGTAGAAAGAGCATATTAAGAAATCTGGCTGGAAGAGAGACAGTCCCAGACTATCCATGTCTTTTGGTCCCACAGCACAGGCATCAAGAAGGATATGCCATCCATGTTCTTGTGCCACTTTCATCCATTGGTAAGAGTATCTAGCACCTGTCACTCTTGATTGAAGCTGGAAAACAAAAAGCCCTCTTTTCTTGCTGATCATTCTCTTGCTGGTAATCATACTCCTCAATTTTGATGATTGAATCCTTAATCTTGGCCATGTAAACTCAGCTGCCATTGCTTGAGCTCCTCTCTTCTCTGAGCTATTAATCATTGTATCTACTGCCTCACTATCATGATCATAGACAGTGAGGAGCTTCTTACAAGACCCAAAAGGATATGACTCTGCAACTAATCTGAAGGCTGATGTTCTGTTTGCTGTCAGAACTACAGAATAATCATCTTCACTAATGTTGAGGAATTCCCTGATCCTTTTCTTGATCGCAGACTCCAATCTCGATTCATTTCCTCCTTCAAGCAGGTGGTTCTTCAGATTTACTGACTTGTACGATAAGTGGAACACCGGAAATTCCGAGCTGTGGGGCCGCAATGGAGGCGGTGAAGATGATGTTGAAGGATATGTGAGAGAAAGCTGATTGTGAAGCTGTGAAAAAGAGAACAAGCCAATGCCAATGTAATCAAGGCATACATGGTTAGAGAGGGAAAGATTGTAGTACTCTTGAGCACGTATTTCATCAATTTGGTAAGTCTCAGTGTAGTTTGGGTAGGTTCTGATGAACTGATCAAATGCTTCTTGCAGGGAAGGAAGGGAGTCAGGGTTGTTAAACTCAGTGTTAGGGAACAAAGAGGAAGAGGTGGTGGAAGCAAAAGTGCGACGGTTTTCAGCTGAAGAATTTCTCGGTTTAGCAGCGATGGATTTATCAGCTTCATTTAGAGTGAAGAAAGGAGTTGGGCAGCAGCCATGGAAGCACAATTCTGTGACCTCCCTTGTTGAAGTTGACTGCATTCTTTGGGTAACTTCTTCAAACTGTCTTGGTTTTGTGCTCTGCTTTCATATTATTTGCCTACTACTATTGCTTTTTATTACTCATATCTTAAAGAGTTTATTTAGTTTTTTGAGGGTATTGCTTAGTTTGGAAGTATTATAAAGCATAGCCCCACTTTAAATGCATTTTTTGGACAAACGCACTTATTAAGGAGCCATAGTGGTGACTTTTAACAGGTCATAGTACTAAAGACCCCCCCTTTTTGTCTTTCAATCTACACTTGTGGGCTATCTTACATTTGACTAGTCGTATTACAATTATCCCTTTCATTCCAATCTTTTGATGATTACGATCATTTGAGAGAAATTATCTATTGTAACTTTGTAGCGAAGACCATTTATCAAAATGATCAGACTTAATAGTAAGAAAATGATCTAATACAAGGTTATTGTAGATAATTCCCTTTCTTTCTACACTAAAAATTTATAAAGAACATCAATTCCCTTCTTTTTACACCCAAAAATTAATAAAGAACAATGAAAAAGAAAGGATAGTTCTTTTTAGTTTTCTTGTAAACATGTCAAGAATCAAATGAGAGTGCAATAAGATTATCTATTCTTTGATTATTTGACCCTGCCTTTGATTTTTAGTTTATCATTCATGGTTGCCTAATTGGTCCTACTAATGGAGTGTCAAAGGTGTACCTGACCTGTTAGAACCTGGTTAGGATCTTTTCTATTTTCCTAGAAAAGGATCATGAATCTCATACTATAACCATTAAATTTTTTTAATGAACACTTTAAGATTTTGGGTGAAGTGTACGAAATGAATAAGTATGAAAAAATGTTCCATTACTTTGTTGTTGAAATGAGTAAGAGCTGGAATTTCTGAAGAATATACTTTTGGCTAATAATTGCTCATAACTGTCCCGCCAATCCCCTAAACACCAAATATACTCTGTAATTACTTTTTTTTTGGGTATCTTTTTGCTTGTGTATACTTTATATGTATCCACAGTTCACACTACTTTCGTTCTCTTGATAAATCTGCCAAGATAAGCTGTATTAAGGATGAGGAAGTAAGAGTTTAACTTAATCGTTGAGCTCTCTAAATCGTACCCAAGTATATAAAAAAAGCCGTATCTAGTTTTCACACTTTCGACATTATTTACAAACCTTAGTGTTTGACCTATCACATCTCGGGGGAGTAATTATTAGTGATGATATCGTTTGCTTAAAAAATATTTGAGTAATTGACAGTGGTAACAGTGTGACAGTCAATTAGTCTATTTAGCCTGATTTAAGAAAAAAAATTATATAGTCAGAAATAGAGGCACTCCGCAATTAAAATGGTATTGTAAGTCATTAAAGTTGTGGTGGTAGCACTTTGATAACCGCAGGCTTGATAAAGATGGCCGGGCCAAGGCTGCACTAAATTGACAGGAACTAGACAATAAAAGCATTACTGTAGGCTGATAGTGGCCGGCAGTATCACTAATAGAGTAGCTTAATATCTTCCAAATCTCTCCATTTTTCTCCTTTTCAATCATATGATTTGGAGCATTGAACAAGTCTTTGTGTTAAAGTCAGGATTTTTAGCTATTGATTATAATTTTCCTTGACATAGTAATTAGATGTATGTGAACTTGAATTGATGTTGCGTATGTCAAGGAAAAAGTGGAAAAAAAAAAAGTGAAAAAATAGTTTTTCATGTTACCCCCTCCATAGTTTTAGGAGAGTATTGGCAGTAGAATTTTATTGTGGGACGAAGGGAGTAACATGGAAAAGTTATCTATTAAAACTATGTGCCCTCTGGAAATGTTAACTTTTGTGGGATAGAGATAAATGAGAAATTATTTGTAGGGACAACCGAACAAGGGATGTGATTTTAAAGAAAGCCAAATTAGAAAGATTAGTCAAAATAATATTTCCATCCATCCTACTTGTTCTTGTGCTATTGACTATCATGGTTAAAAGTGGTCTTAGAGATAGGTTATAGTAATAGTTGTATGGTCATTAGGGGCTTAGGGTTGTATCTTAAGCTCAACCACTCTTGTCACTGTGACACAAATAGTCAAATATTTCCAAGGTAGAATACAACAATAACCACAAAGCTTTAATCCCAAAAGGATTCCGAGGTAGAATGAATGGTGGATGATTAACTTCAACTGGCTATAGGATACTAAAAATTTGTTTTTGAAAAGATTTCTTTCTTTGTGCTTGTAGGTCCAGGCCTGGGGGAAAATTGGGGAACCCCACTGGTGGATGGTCGTGGGGGGCGGGGTTGACTGTACTCAAAAGCATGACTAAATGGGATGTAGATGGTTCTACCATCCCTGAGGACTGAAGTGGTCGCTCTTGTAACTATAGGCTTTCAACCAATATAATCCTATGTCCGTACACTGAATAGGCTTACATAAATATAATCCTCAATCAAATGTGAGATTATGGAACATACCAAGTATTATATAGGGATAAAGGGAATACATCCTATGTCCGTACACTGAATAGGCTTACATATGAGGATATGCCCTGTGAGAAGATTTCTGATATTGGAGTAAAAGCGATTAGGGCTTATTTTTATACAGGTTTAGGATTAAATCTAGCATGGCAATAGACTAGACAAGTTTAGTTAAGGGATCATACATAAAATTCTAACCAATGTGGTCAGGTCCCCCAAACAACAGGGTATATCCATTGTCATCATCTATCTTCCCCAAGTAATCTGCCTTGTATACATCAAGATTATCAGCAGTCACTTGAATGGGAAGATTTTTTGGTAAGTAAAACTCTCCGTCTGTATCCATGTAAGCGAGTTTGGAAGCGTAACAACTTCTGGTGAGATCATGTGCTGCAATAGACTCCTGATCCCATTGGAGCTGGTTTAGGGATGTTTGAAGGGCTATAAACCTTCCCTCCTAATTGCAGTACAGTAGTAGAATCCGCCAGTGTTGGAAATAACTCTTTTGGCCAGTAACCTATTGGTTCGTTTTCTAAGTCACTAAAGTTTTCAATAATCCACCAATTGCTTGTCTTTAGATCCTGTAAGACAATTTTGGTAATGGATGAGATTCTACTAAAAAATGTGTAAAATGTGTAGTAGAAAACAAGTTAGATTATTTTGAAGATATTACCCTGTAGATCTTGATATCCATGCCATAGGTCTTTCCTCCATCGGTCGAAACAGGATTACTTGTTGAACCCATTGGCAATCTTGGACTTATTTGCACATACCCTGGGCAAAGTGAGTTATAGCATCCTGTGCTTTGGAAACCATCTGCCTGAAATCCGACACAAATTTTTTTCCAATAATCACATACTTGTATATATCATGGAATGTTGATGGTTAGTGTTAGTATAGTCGTGAACAGTTTTTGCTTCTTTCTTGAACATAAATGGGCAAATAATATAGACGGGATTAAATCTTACTATATCTTAGCACCACTTTCTATTTGTACAGTATTTTTAAATGAGATTTTCTAGCGAGTGCCTCAACATTTTAATAAACTAACTTACAGTCCACTGGCTATAAGTTCGCGATTGACTATCTCCATACAATTGTGGATTTACCTGCAAACCAAGAGAAAATATTGTAAATGAAAATTGGACAGAGTATCATTTGCCTGATGTAAGTTTGCAGCAGAGAGATTTAATTGATATTGAAACTTACTGTCCATCCATACTCTACACTGCTATATGAACCACTAACACCGGAACCAATCCATAGTAGAGCCTCGCTTAATTGGGGTGCTTGGACTGATAAGTTGTATACTGTGATGAATGTCGATGCTCCTTCTATCTTTCTGGATTTATCATCTGGAGTTGTCAACGCTGCATACTTCGGAGTACCCGAATCAATAAGGTTAAAATCACTAGCAAAGTTAGTACTCTGTATCTGAATATCTGATTTAATGGATATTGTACAGTCGAACATACTTACATGCATTTCAGGCGTGAGCCCTTGTGTTAAATTTACTGATCTTGGACGACGAAGATCACGAATTGCTTTATCATTGATCAAATCTTCCTTCTGAACCCTCCTAAAAGGGACTGTTCCATGAGAACACCCTTTAAATTCCCCTTGATTATATTGTCGTCTATTTAATCTCGAACTTGCTCTTTTCACTCTTTTTTCTTCTGGTATAAAACTAGGTCTCCTCTTTTTATTCATGAATATAAATTAGTTTTATTAGCTAATCAGTGAAAGAAACAACAAAAACGAATTATGTGTATATATACCTGAAGCTTGTGATTCTTGAGCAATGGGTGATCAAAAGCAGGTTGCTTGTATATATCTACGCAATCAATAATTTCACCATCTTTGATCTATTATATATAAAGGCGAATAAATTGTTACTACGGGTATAAAATTATCTTGAATAATGGGGGCAATTGCTACTTGATTGAAATGTAAGTTTCATGCATGAAAATCTTGTTCATGCACATATATTGTCACATTATACAATTATTATCATTATCATCAAATCATAGAAATTTTAATAAAATGTCATCATTAAATTGCTAATTACAAACTTTTAAATAAATTTGGTGTACAGGAGAAGTAGTACATTTGCACTTAAGCTACCTTGATATTTTATTTTTTTTTTTTTAAAAAAAAAACCCACAAATCCCAGTATGTAAAGTTAGTTATGTTATATCTTATAAACTCATTCTATTATTTATTTATAATTATATTCAAAGGAGGTTCAAAATCACCTTGAAAATTACATTAAATCTTTTCAGTGTACAATAATACTATTGTAAACTAGGTAAACAGAAATATTTTTTACGAGTATGAGTCATGAGGGCTAACAATCCTAACAACTAGACCGAACCTTTGTTTGGTGAAAAAGTTAATAGAATTGAGTATTAGCTTTTCACCTTGAAGCTTGTAATGGGGGGCTTATTCAAGATGTTGAGTTGCTTATCGAGCTCTATATCTTCTTTTTTGAGTCTTGATTTTCTGATTCCCTCTTCAGCACCATGACTCACAGTAATAAGAAAGATTAGGAGTAAAAGAATATTGATTAAGAATTTCATGGCCATGATTATAATTTCTTGAATATTTTTGCATTTGATGTGATATATTGGTACAGGTGCATAGCAATATATTTTTACATTGACTTCTCAATACTATAACGTCTGTATATGAGGAATGAATATGATTTTGGCATTTCTAAAGTACTTCTAATGTGAATTTATTATTTAGTGCGTTATAATCCAATTATATGATAATCTAAAATTTAATTCAATTAAAATCAATTGCAATATCTTCATTATTGGTAGGCAATCGATTGAATTAAAGAGAGATATCAACATATTATGGAAATATATATCTAGATAACGTCCAATTTATTTTGAAACTAAGCTAAATTATGTACATAATGGTAGAGCTGTCAATTCGGGTAAACGGGTCGGGTTTAGGTCGGGTCAACTTGGATCGGGTTAGTTCAGATTAATTTCATAACCTATGCGGGGCGGGTTTGGGTTGGGTCATGCTTGAGTCAAGTCACGTCGGGTCATACTTCTTTTCGGGTTTGGGTCGGGTTTAGGTCAGGTTACATTCGGGTCGGTAAACAATAGGTCGGGTTTAATTCGGATTTTCACGGGTTAAAACGGGTTAGGGTAATTCTTGGGTTCTAGTCGGGTTCGGTTCAAGTCAATAATTTGCGGGTTAGAATCAGGTCGGGTCATTCTCAGGTTTGAGTCAGGTTCGGTTCAAGTCAATAATTTGCGGATTATAATCAGGTTGGGTCATTTTCAAGTCGGGTCATTCTCGGGTTCAAGTCGGGTTCGGATCAAATCAATAATTTGCGGGTTATAATCAGGTTGGGTCATTTCCAAGTCGGGTCATTCTCGGATTCAAGTCGGTTCGTTATGTTCAAGTCAATAATTTGCAGGTTATCGAGTCATTTCCAAGTCAGGTCATATTCAGGTTCAACTAATTATAAATAGATAATTATCATTTTTATCAAGATAATTATTTCATTTGACTATAATATATATGGCAATATACTAGGGAACTATAGTCTATAATTTAAGAAGATAATTATCTTCTTTGAACATAAAACAAATATTTACTATAATTAACTCTTAAATTGGAGGATGATGCTCCTTTCTTTTGTTGGCCTGGACTGACTTGGTCTCCTTAGACAAAATGCTTTGATCACCAATAGTAAGGTGGTCTAAATTGCATTTATAGTGATTTGAAATCAGGTCAGGAACAATTTGGGTTGAATTTAGGTCGAGTCAATAACAAGTCGTGTTAATTTGGAGTCGGGTTAGTAATAGATCGGATTGAATTTTTGGGTCTAGTAAGTAATAGGTTTGGTAAAATTCGGGTCGGGTCAATAACAAGTCCGGTTGAATTTGGGTGTGGTCAATAACAAGTCGGGTTGATTTCAGTCGGGTTTGTAACAGGTTGGGTTAAATTCGGATCGGATTAGGAACGGGCCGGGTTGAATTCATGTCACGTTAGTAACAAGTCGGGTTAAATTCGGGTTTTGACAGGTTAAAACGGGGTTTGGGTCGATTTCGGTTCAAGTCGGGTTCAATGCAAGTTAATTAAATTAGCCATTGTAAACCAGCAAATCGGCGCAAGTTATAAACCGGTAACTGGCAGTTTAAAAGCAATTAAGATGGTTCCACACACCCAGTTGGACTCCCGGAAGATATTAAGGATCATGGTAAACATTTCGAATATTTTTATTTTCGAGCAAAAAAAGTCAAAAAATTCTAAATTGAAAGCTAATATCCACGCTTTTTGAGAAATTTTGAAGGTTTTGGGGCCGATGTCGAAAAGTCTTGAAATTCTATGGGTTACATCTCAGGGTCATATAATGCCGTTTGAAACCATATATGATCATTATTTGTTGTCATAAATATTCGTGGTAGGCTTGAATTAATGAAATCAGTGCAAGTTGTAAACAGGTAAATTGGTTGTTTAAAGGCAAATTGGATGATTCCACCCACCCAATTGGACTCCCGGGGGGTATTAGGAACCATGGTAAAAATTTTGGTAATTTTTATTTCCGTGCTAAAAAAGTCAAAAAAATTGCAAAATTGAAGGCTTTTTGAGAAATTTTAGAGATTTCGGCGCTCGGTGTCGAAAAGGCTTGAGATTTTAGGGGATACATCTCGGGGTCATATAATGCCGTTTGGAACCATATATGATCATTATATGTTTTCATATATGTTAGTGGTAGGCTTGAATTAATGAAATCGGTGCAAGTTGTAAATCGGTTAATTGGTCGTTAAAAGGCAAATTGGATGGTTCCACCCACCCAATTGGAATCCCGTGGGGTATTAGGGACCTTGGTAAACATTTCTCCAATTTTTATTTTCGGGCGAAAAAAAGTCAAAAAAATTCCAAAATTGAAGGCTAATATCCACCCTTTTTCAGAAATTTTGGAGGTTTCGGAGTCCGGTATCGAAATTTTTTGAAATTATAGGAGATATATCTCGGGGTCATATAATGCCGTTTGGAACCATATATGATCATTATTTGTTGTCATAAATGTTCGTGGTAGACTTGAATTAATGAAATCGATGCAAGTTGTCAACCGGTAAATTGGCCGTTTAAAGGCAAATTAAATTGTTCCACTCACCCAATTGGACTCCCAGAGGATATTAGGGACCATGGTAAACATTTCGGCAATTTTTATTTCTAGGCGAAAAAAGTCAAAAAATTGCAAAATTGAAGGCTAATATCCACGTTTTTTGAGAAATTTTGGAGATTTCAAAGCTCAGTGTCGAAAAGGCTTGAGATTTTAAGGGATATATCTTGGGGTCATATAATTGCGTTTGGAACCATATATGATCATTATTTGTTGTCATAAATATTCGTGGTAGGCTTGAATTAATGAAATCGGTGCAAATCGTAAATCGGTTAATTGGTCATTAAAAGGCAAATTGGATGGTTCCACCCATCCAATTGGACTCCCAGGGGGTATTAGGGACCTTGGTAAATATTTCGGCAATTTTTATTTTCGGGAGAAAAAAGTCAAAAAAATTCCAAAATTGAATGCTAATATCCACACTTTTTGAGAAATTTTAGAGGTTTTGGAGTCCGGTATCGAATTTTTTTGAAATTATAGGGGATATATCTCGGGGTCATATGATGCCGTTTGGAACCATATATGATCATCATATGTTTTCATAAATGTTTGTGGTAGGCTTGAATTAATGGAATTGGTGCAAGTTGTAAATCGGTTAATTGGTCGTTTAAAGGAAAATTGGATGGTTCCACCCACGCTTTTCTAGAAATTTTGGAGGTTTCGGGACCCGATGTCGAAAAGTCTTGAAATTCTATGGGATGCATCTCGAGATCATATAATGCCGTTTGGAACCATATTTGATCATTTTATGTGTCATAAATGATTGTGTTAGGCTTGAGTTAATTAAATCGGTGCAAGTTGTAAACCAGTAAATTGGTCGTTTAAAGGAACATTGGATGGTTCCACCCACCCAATTGGACTCCCGTAGGATATTAGGGATCATGGTAAGCACTTCGGCAATTTTTATTTTTGGGCAAAAAAAAGTAAAAAATTCCAAAATTGAAATCCACGCTTTTTGAGAAATTTGGGATGTTTGAGGCCCTTTGTCGAAAAGTTTTGAGATTTTAGGAGATATATATCGGGGTCATATAATTTCGTTTGGAACCATTTATGATCATTATATGTTGTCATAAATATTCGTATTAGGTTCGAGTTAATTAAATCGTCGCAAATTATAAACTGGTAAATTGACCGTTTAAAGACAAATAGGATGGTTCCACCCACCCAATTGGACTCCTGAAGGATATTAGGGACCGTGGTAAACATTTCGGCAATTTTTATTTCCGGGTGAAAAAAAGTAAAAAAATTCGAAAATTGAAGGCTAATGTCCAGGTTTTTAAGAAATTTTGGATGTTTCGGGGCCCGATGTCGAAAAGTCTTGAAATTTTATGGGATATGTCGCGGGGTCATATAATGCCGTTTGGAACCAGATATGATCATTATATGTTTTCATATTTGTTCGTGGTAGGCTTGAATTAATGAAATCGGTGCAAGTTGTAAATCGGTTAATTGGTCGTTTAAAGGCAAATTGGATATGATGATTCCACCCACTCAATTGGACTCCCGGGGGGGTATTAGGAGCCTTGGTAAACATTTCGGCAATTTTTATTTTCGGGGAAGAAAAGTTAATAAATTCCAAAATTGATGGCTAATATCCACGCTTTTTTAGAAATTTTGGAGGTTTCGGGACTCGATGTCGAAAAGTCTTGAAATTGTAGGGAATATATCTTGGGGTCATATAATTTCGCTTGGAACCTTATACGATCATTATTTGTTGTCATAAAAATTTGTGGTAGGCTTGAATTAATGAAATCGGTGCAAGTTGTAAACCGGTAAATTGGTCGTTTAAAGGCAAATTGGATGGTTCCACACTTCCACCCACCCAATTGGACTACCGGAGGGAATTAGGGATCATGGTTAACATTTCGGCAATTTTTATTTCCTGGCGAAAAAAGTCAAAAAAATTCTAAAATTGAAGGCTAATATCTACGCTTTTTGAGAAATTTCTAATGTTTTGGGGCCCGGTGTCGAAAAGCATTTAGATTTTAGGGGATATATCTCGGGGTTGTATAATGCTGTTTGGAACCATATATGATCATTATATGTTGTCATAAATGTTCGTGGTAGGCTTGAGTTAATGGAATCGGTGCAAATTGTAAACCGGTAACTTGGTCGTTTAAAGGCAAATCGGATGGTTTCACCCATCCAATTGGACTACCGGAGGGTATTAGGGACCATGGTAAACATTTCGGCAATTTTTTTTTTCGGGTGAATAAAAGTTAAAAAATTCCAAAATTGAAGGATATTATCCACGCTTTTTGATAAATTTTGGAGGTTTTGGCCATAATGGTCAGGATCTTGCTAACGAGCGCCTTTAGTTAGCTGAATAAGCATTTAAAACATTTCCTAAAGTGATTTTTTTTGACACATATTTTTTTGACACATTTCTAAAGTGATATTAGTTTGGCAATATATGCCAAAATCAAGCGTTGATCGGTGTAATTAATTTTCAATTTTATTTGATATTTCTACTTTTAGCTATTTTGGCCATCGCCCCGGATTGTAATAATCAATAAAAAAAACTTTATGAAAGTCTAATTTAATTTGAATCTGATTTTACTTTAACGTAGTGGGCCCGACAACTCTAAATAAATTGAGGATGGTTGTCCAATTATGTTTATAGGCCCATTAAAGAAGAAATTCTATGCAATTTGAACATTTGATGTAGATGAAAATTCAGCTTGTCTACAAAAAAACTTATTTATTAAACTAGCTTACTAATTATCTAAAAGACCATAAATGATCCATAATTTTTTTATACTCTTCTTCATTTTATAACATTTGAAAAGCTTATAACATAAATAAATGATAATTCAGCTTGTTTACCAAAAGCTATTAATATAATTAGCTTGATTTAGCTTAAAGACCATACTTAATTAATGTTGTAGCCCTATCTACCTAAGGGCAGGTCCTCCAAACACTAGTGTATACCCTCTTCCAGGATGATCCTTACTTGCATCTCCTAGGTATGCAGCTTTGTAAGTATCAGGAGCATCACCAACCACAAGCATTTTTTCGTCTTTTGGATCGTAAAACTCGTAATTATTATTAACAAATTGGATATTAGAAGCGTAACAAGTTCTTGTAAAATCATCTGGCATAAAAACACCGGAACCCATACGAGCCGGGCTAGGCTCGTCATTAGGACTCGAAACCTTCCCTCCTAATTGCACCACTGATGCAAAACTTGACATCTTCGGAAGTATCTCCTTTGGCCAGTAACCTACTGGTTCATGAGCTACATCGCCTAAGTTCTCGAAAAGCCACCAATTGCTTGTATTTGGATCCTACATTACATTATTTGATTGTACGCTTAGTACGTATGTTACATATAAATATTTACATACATTGTTACTTGGTAGCACGGCCATTTTTAAATTAAATACACGATTATGTATTGTCAGACAGATTTATTTATTTTTTCCCGAAATTATACCTTGAAAATCTGAAATTCCATTGAATAGACGTCTTCACCCGGAATAGTAACTGGATGATTAGGTTCGCCCATTATCCGTTTTTGGCTCACTTGCACATATCCTGGGCAAAGTGCATTGTAACATCCCGCGTTTTGAAGACCATCCGACTAACAACGTCAAATAAAATATCCAACATAATTATGATACTTCGTATATAATCATAAATTAGACTAGAGATATAAATTAAATTAGCCCAATAAATTTCTAAACTATGTAGAAATACTTACTGTCCATAAACTATAGGTTCGCGATAGACCATCTCCGTACAGTCCTTCATTTACCTATAAATTGAAATTGAGATACGATTTAAAACATATTACTGGCGGTTACATATACACGAGTTGTTTTTTATATGTTATTGATAAAAACGGATACAAAGGCATGTATATAACATAAAATGACTTACAGTCCACCCGTATTCTATACTGTTATATGGACCATTGATGCTAGTTCCAACCCATAGTAGAGCCTGGCTATATTGGCCCTTTTGATCTGTTATGTTATAGACACTAATATCAGTTGCAGCTCCCCAAAGCTGTTTGGAGGGATCATTTGGTGTAGTAACCCCTGCATACTGCACAAGCCATTACAAGTACGTCGTATTAATTAATAACAACTCGAACAATTAGGAGGTTATTGTATGTAGCGCGCCACTTAAAGTACGTGCTATATATGTCACAAAATATAATACGGGGTACTTACATGCGGGTTTGGTGCATGTTGAAATGCAACTTTAGCCCTTATCAAATCTTCCTTTGTAACTCTTTTGAAAGGGACTGTTCCATAAGGACACACCTTAGATTCACTTGGATTATTTTGTCTACTAATTTTTCTATTATCGTCTCTTCTCAATTTCAATTCTTTGGGAAGGGAGCTTGGTCTCATCTATTTGATGAGCAACAGTACAAATTTCAATTAGTCCAACTTTTTTATGTTGGGAAAAATATATATAAATGGACAATGTACCTGGAGGTTATGATCCTTAAGCAAAGGGTGGTCAAAAGCGGGTTGCTTGTAGACATCGATGCAATCGATTAGTTCACCAAATTTGTTCTGTTTATAAGAGGAAAGAAAATTACTACTCGTAATAATATTAGACCCTATACAATTCACCTTAAGAAAATAATCTTAATTTATATTTGTATTCTATTTGATATATGTATTTTTATTGATATCTTTGTGTAATTTTAATACGGAGTAATAAAAATGATAAATAGATTAGTTCAAAATGAGGTGGTCAGATTAAATATTTAGACTTATTTTGACAAACTGAGGTGGTTAGATCAAGTATTTAGACTTATTTTGACAAACTTTTTTCTTACACAAATCCCATTGGACCCACTTTAGACCCAAAACCTAATAGGCTCAATGAGTTTGGGTATGACAATTTTAGACCTAGTGAGTCTGGGTCGAATTTGGATCCACCTTAATAAGGATCGGGGTTTGGGTCTGGTCAAACCGACCCATTCTCATCTCTAATTGTAAATTTGTAATTCTACGTAGTAAAGATTTAATTTGAATTCAAGGAGGATAAATTAAAGAAGAATTTAAACCTTGAAGCTCTGTATGGGTGTCTTATTCAAGCTATTGACTTGCCTTTCAAGTTCTTGATCTTCTTCTGTTGACCTAAACTTTCGGCTTCCTCCTTCGACTTCATGGCTTACAACACTAAGCAAAGTAAGAACTAAAACACTAATGGTAAAGAATTTCATTATTGAACTAACAAATAAAAACTTTGATTTGTTTTATTATTATTTTATTTGATACTTTGATTATTTGATGAATATATATATGCACTATGAGCATAGGACTATTACATACAACTATATATATAGCATAGATTGAAATCAATTCTGATTTTTTTTTTTTTTTTTTTTTTTTGAAAGAGAAATCAATTCTGATCTCATAACCTCAGCATGATGACAATTGTGCTGTCAATACATTAAATGCATAATATAAAGTTCATGTGTATCTATCCTTATTTTCTGATATGCTTTTGTAAATCAAAATTTCATGAAACAAATCCTTGTTATTTAGAATACTAAAGAATCTGGTTGATTATGCTTGTATCAATGTATGACCTTTTAAGTATGTACGTAATAATTTGCACTGTTTTTTTACAATATATAATTCTTCAAGTATGTGAACTAACTCTATTATAAGTCCTTACTATAATTACTCGTACTAAGTTTTTAGTGTTTTTACGTTTTAGGATAAAATTCTGATTAAGTGTATAGAATTGAAACTAATTTAAGTTATATTGCGGATTTTCAATTGCTATCACTAGGATATTCTTCCACGGATTTTGTTAAACAACTTTAAAATAAAGGTGGAAAAAAACGAGGATATTTCAAACAATGAAACAAAGAGCATCATATTTAGAGGTACTCCGTAATACTAGTTGTTGTTTGATGGTATTATGAAAATTGTTTGGTTGACTATATAAAATGAGCTTTTTTTTTCCCAAAAAAATAGAAAGTGTAAACTTTATTTATTGTTCCCCAAAAACTTACTACTCTGTACTACCTAAAAGTCTCAACTAGATTTGACTTTTTTTTTTTTTTTTTTTTTTCTAATTGAATTAAGATGAATTTGTTTTCTCATTAAGGGGTGGAAAAATATCATTGTCTTATTGAGGTGTTTACCAAATTGGTTAAGACTAAATTTCAAAAAAAAAAAAAAAAAAATAAATAAATAAAAAATTGTAAGTTGGTTAAGACTAAAAGTTTGTGATAGATCACATGTTTCAATAATCCCGCGACCCCCCTTTATCCCAATTTTCTAATTTTTTTTTTCCAAATAGTTGGTTCACATATTTTAAATATGAGGTATGTGTCTATGTGGTATGCGTTTAAAATAGGTTAAACTCATACTTAATGTTGGTTAAAGAGAATTCCAATTTCTATATAACAAGGCCTTCCAACTCTTAATTACTCGCTAATATAAATATATGATATCACACCATGAGCTAGTAATTATCTTGATTATTACAGGAACAATATTATTCCAAGCTACAATCTATGAATGCATAATATTACGCTGTTGATCTTGGACCATCCAATAATTTCTGGTACAATAAAAACACTCTTAAGTCGTAAAATCAGGTCCTCCAAAGAGAACTTCGGCACCATCCAAGAATTGAGCATTGTAAAGATCAGGTGAATTCGCGAAAACATCCATTTTAAGAGATTCATCAGGGATTAGACCATAGGTTGAGTTAACAACATGGACTATAGCTTGGCATGTTTTGAGCAAGTCGTCCGCCACGAAATGACCTGAACCCATGGGAGTCTTTGAAGGCTCAATAGAAGGATTATACACCTTACCACCAACTTGAACATTTGTTGCAGAATCACTCATTTCTGGCAACAATTCCTTTGGCCAATATCCTATATATTGATTTGTTGCTTCTGGTAGGCTCTCCACTATCCACCAATTTTGTGTTTTTGGGTCCTATATTTCAACAACAATCCAATTTAATGTCATGTTACATGATCTGAATGTATATAATATATGACATTTATGAATGATACTTAGATTAGCTTTTGAATTAGGGGTTGTTCACATTTACTGAACTGAAATGAAATGAATATTTTATGAGAGAAGTAAATTAGGAGCTGAACTGAACTGAACTAATTGAAGCTCAACTGAACTGGACTGAATAGAAGTGAAATTAAGCTGAAGTGAACAGGCCCTTAATCATGTCAAAAGGTATTTTGTTACAACTTACTAAGGGCATGTTCACATTTACTTAATTTCAGTTCAGTTCAGTTCAGCTATAATCAGTTAAGTTCAGTTCAGCTCTTAATTTTCCTCTCTCATAAAATATTCATTTCACCTCAATTCAGTTCAGTTCAGTTCAGCTCCAATCAGTTAAGTTCAGCTTAGTAAATGTAAACAGACCCTAAATGTTTCATAAGAACCCATGCATTTTGACTTTTGAGTTATGTGTTTTAATTGTCATACATTAATTATTTCACATAAACTAAACAACCAAGTGTGTACTTTGTTGAGGCATACCTTGATAATTCCAAGCAACATAAATCTCGTGCTTTTATCATACTCCGAAAAATAGGTCAATTCATCTCCCATATGACGGAGTTGGTTTACTTGAACAAACCCGGGGCAAAGCATGTTAAAGCATCCTGTCTTACCGAATCCATCCGCCTGACCAATACAGAAAGATAATTTTTTAAATATATATATATATATAATTCCCTATTAAATCGGAAAAATCTAAAACAAATACTTGTAACAAGATATAAGTAGCTTACCGTCCACAAATTAAATGTTCGTGCTTTTCTATCTCCATATAATTGTTGGTTGAACTGTTGAAGATCAATACATAACATTATCTAGAATTAGTCATGTACATATAAATGTACGGAGTATTATATTAGCTATAATATGGGATTTCTATTAAAACATGTACTGTAAATGTGTATCATCTTACTCGTTAAACTAGCCTAGTCAATTAACTCTACTCGAGAGAGATTAAATTTCGTGTAAATTATTATTAGTTACTGTGTAAGTAATGTCTTATTGTAGGAGTTGAAGTGAATGACTTACAGTGTATCCATACTCGATGTTGTTAAATGGACCGTCAACACCACTACCAATTCGCAAGGAAGCTGCACTAGTTTGAGCAGGAATCGCGATTGTCAAATTAAAAAGAGCTATTGCAGCCCTTGCTCCTAGGTATTTTTCCGACGTCCCATTTGGAGTTCCTGCTCCTGCATACTATATACACAAATACAAGTACAAAATTATTTTTACGTACATAATTTAATTTTTCGACGTAACATTAAATTAAACAAAATCAACATACATAATTTCCTTGTGAGGGAGTAAATGGTGGTCCTCCGGTCATTGTACGATAATGGCTTAAAACCGCATTTGCCGTGACCAAATCCTCCTTTCGTGTTCTTCGAATGGGTACCGTTCCTGGAGGACATTGTGTGACTTTGGACGGTAATTTATGTACCTGAAAAAGAATGGGTGGTTTTAATCTGTAGTTTTCAGGTACTTTGGAATATTTTTTTTCAGGTACTTAATCTGTAGGGTTTTTGAAAAAGAATAAATTAATGTGAGTTATTAATTAACAAATGGATATTACCGTGAGTTATTAGGAGGAAGATGGTGAATTATTAATTAATTAACAGGTTACGGAGTAATATTAATTTACCTGGATCCTGTGATTTTTTAGTTTTGGATGATCAAATGCAGGTTGTTTGTATATATCAATGCAGTCGATGATGCTTCCATCCTCTTTCTACACAAAGATTAAAAAGTACATATATGATGTAAAACATTATTGTACATACAACTAATTTATTATATACTTCGTATGTTTTTGCTATAAGGATAAATTTCTTTTAACAATGCCCAAAAATTTCACATAATTGAAACCAAAATTGAGAAATTAGTCAACCTACCAATCTACCGTATTGCAAATTTATAATCAAATCAATTTTATTATTATTTTACTTTATTTTATTTTAATTTTTTTTTTGACAAATACTTTAATTATGTCTTATATATATTGGAAATTTCTAATTTTCAAATTAATATAATTGGCATTTTTTTTTTTTTTTTACAAATTAAAGGCTTTTCCTTACCCACTGACTACATTCACTACATCATATGAAAACTAATGTTTAATTAATAAAAAAGTCAATTTTAAATAAATTCAACATGAAATTTTTCAAAGAAAATCAACAAAAGTAATTACACCAACAAGAAAAATTAACTTTAAAGGATAAAAACTATTTCATCACCATAAAAACAAAACACCAAGATTTGATAAACAATCAATAACCAATACTCCCACTATTATTATATTAGGTTTAAAAAAAAAAAAATATATTCCAAAGTACCTGAAAACTTAGAATGGGTGGTTTGTTCAAAGTCTTAAGACGTGTTTCAAGCTCTAAATCTTCATCGGATAAATTAATCTCCTTCCTACCTTCAACACATTCACCAAATTTCGAAATCAAAGCTAAAAAAAAACAACTACAATTCTCATAAAAACCCATACATTAATATTCCTAAGTCTGCCTACCATGTTTATTATTATTTTTTTGGTCATACAAAGTATTTTATGAGAATGAAACTTAGCTTATGTTACTGATTATTGATTATATTTATATAAGAAACATTTTAATTGAGAAGGTTATATAAAAATTTCCAAATTCATGGAATATACACATTCTAGCCATTGTTTTTATTAGGAAAGTATTTGGTAATATTAGGAAAAAATCAATATTTTAAATGAGGCATGATTTTGTCTGTAATAATTGATATCACTATAATTTGTAGAAAATAATGACTGAGGTGATTTTTTCTATTTTAAGGGTGACTTATTTCCTTATGTTACCAATAATTTTAGGGGAATTTTCTAAGGTACCCTTGCTTGAGGTCAAGTGGAATATAGCTAGTATATATAGTATAAATTGCCTCTATAGTGTAATAGCCTCTATGGTGGCCTTGTGGGTATACTCCATGACTTTTTTTGAACCATATTACGGAGTACATTTTTTCTTATTGATTGATCGATCCATGCATGTTACAAGTATTACTTATATAATGACATTCATTTTTGTTTTCCATGATCAATAAATGATTTTGAATTTGATTCAAAAGGTTGGTAAATAGTGCATAAATTAAAGTGTGGCATATCAATGAGGTTATTACACTATAGAGGTTATTACACCCAACTAATCACACTTGATTACTCGTTTTTAGACAGGATTGGTGTTTAAGTTTTTTCCCTTTTGGTTCAGCTTAAAACCACTATCACTATTAGCGGCTTTAGAAAAGAGACTGCACCTAACTAATAAATCAAAGTTACAACCCTTCAAATCACTCTAACTAAGTATATAACATTATCCTAAACCATCACTCTAAGTATATAACATAATCCTGAACCTTAGTCATCCGCTTAATCATTTGATTGAGTTAGTCCACTAAATTGGTATCGAAACCAATATAACATAAAGGTACGGGATCGAATCTCATCCACCATCCTTTCAGAGTGGAATTCGCACCATAAAAAAGGCTTTCATGTCATGGAGAGTGTTATGAAAGAATCATGAATTGGCAAAATCATCTTTACTTCTTCTCTTCTTCTTACAATGCCTATTCAAACCCTTCAAGTCACTCATTAATTCTGCGTTACTTGATGCCTGAAGATCGTTCTTGCACTTCTTAACCGGTAAATTTTTTCATGCATTATATTTTTCTATAATTTACATCATAATTCTGCATCAAAAAAATTTCTTGAGCTTTGAATGATACCATTTGCACTTCTGCATGATTAATGAATTGGGTATAATTTTAATTTGCTGTTTTTATTCTTTGATGTTGGCAATTTTGGATATTAATTCATATTTATGTAATTTATTTTTGGTTGCTCTGTGTTTGCAGTTGTTCTTTGCATTTTAATTTGATGCTTTGAAACCCAGAAGATTTCGAGACTATAAATTATTGTTTGTTTGTTTTTTGGATTAATAGGTTTATGGGGTTCGAATTTTTTGATGCAATTTTGACTTGATTGATGATAATGGTCAAATAAATCTAATCTATAGAAGATAGGGATTTAGGGTTTTTTGGATTCTATGGTTTTGGACTTTTGGTAAAGTGTAATTCTAGTGCTCAATTAAGACCATTTATGAAGAATTCCGAATTGGATAATCTTTTAGTAGGAGAACATCTTCATATAGTGAATTAAGAAGAATGCCATTGCCATTGGTAGTCCAAAAGTATTTTTCGATTGAGATAAGCCAGAAAACTCCAATGGACCTTCGTCAAGATAGCTTGATCTCTCGTTTGTGTGTTTCTCTTCATTATAGGACCATTGATAATCATCTTTTACTTTGTGTTTATCTTGTGGGTATTTCAATACTATTCCCAAGTTCGGATTGGTATGTCTTGAGCTCGGTGCTTCCTCGAGTATGTGTGATGTCTTTGATGGGAGATGGGTATCGGACTACAACTATCCTTTGTATAATTCTTCACCATCTTCGGTGTGTCCTTTTGTGGAACAAGGTTTCAATTGCTTGAGTAATGGGAGATTGGTAGGAAGGATAAATTCTAATTTAGAAAGAAAGCCCGAAATTGGTGATCCTTGATTTGAATGCATTTAACATATTGGGAAGGCTTAAGAGAGTTTACGAAGTGAAAGGAACACAAGTACATAACGAAAACTATGAGACACTTGGTTTCATTCCTTTATATAAGGAATTCTACCTGTCTGTTTTCCTTGTACAACTTGGTATCGCGACAAAGCATTCTCCAAAGAGAGTGAAGTCAACTCTTATGCCTGACTAATGGATGACATTAGCAAGGAGTGGGTTATGGCTTAATGCAGATGCAATTATATTCAACTCGCGACATTGGTGGATATCGTTAAAGTTATGTGAAATACAAGTCTTCTGGTGCATATAAAAGTATGTGATCCAAGATTCATTTGTCAGTTTTTTTCAACTTTATAATTTATCATTCTTCTATACTTACATGGCATTAATTTTGTTTATGCAGCCATTGTTTTTTTTTTTTTAAATCTAAATTATATTTTCCATTGATTAAAATTTAATGGTATTATATGTGACATTTATAATACAACAAGATCGATACCTCTCCGAAAATTAATACAAGATAAAAAAAATATCAACTAGTCATTAGTTATCTTCTATCCATTTAAACATAAGTATAGATTCTAAAATTATCCTAAGGAAGGATTTTTCACTTGATTGGTTATGTTAACATACGTGTATTTCAACTTTTTTTACCGACTAAAACAAGATGAATAATGTATTACTCCGAATATAAAAATTATATCCCATAAAAATTTTTAATGATAAAAAAACCAGATACCTACCTAGGCTAGACTTCAGCACTAATTAATACTTTGTATAATGCTGTAAAGCATTCCCCTATTTTTACATTGAATTCTACTTGGAAAATAATACACACATAGCCATGAAGATCGCCTTGTTTTTTCTTGTGCTTTCTCTACTGCATGTATCCTCAATTGCTGTAAAACAGGTAAATAACTCTCTCTTTATAATTCTTGAAATTATGTAATGGTACTTATCTACTTGACAACTTAACTTAAATTTGCGTACTTGTCTTAAAATTTTGCATCAATTGTATAGTCATACATAGTGTATATGGGAGCACATTCACATCCCGAAAATGCAACAATGGAGGTTTTTGATCGAGTGACAGATTCTCATCACGAATTCCTAGCAACTTTCCTTGGAAGGTACATGTATATAGGAAATAGGTTCATGGTTAGTATATACAAATTTTACACTCATACTTTGTAATTATTTATTTATTTATTTTTGCGTAAACAGCCTTGAAGAGGCAAGGGATGCAATCATCTACTCGTATACAATGCATATTAATGGTTTCTCTGCTATCCTTGAAGAGCATCATGCAGCGGAAATAGCAAGTTAGTAAACATTGAGTAAATTTTTTGATATTTCAAATCTTATTTATGAATATACTTTTAAACTACAATAAAATAAAAGTATACTCAGGTACATTAAGTCTAGCCTATGATGATTTTTATTGGCGTGTATGTTACAATTTTCTTCTCTTTAATCAAAACTTATACAGTTTGTTTTTAATTTAAACTATGCAGAACATCAAGATGTTATTTCAGTGATTCCTGATAAAGTGATGGAATTACACACTACACACTCTTGGGATTTCATGTCACTAGAAAATAATGATCTGCCTAGTGTTTCATGGAAAAAGGAAGCTCGATTTGGGGAAGATACCATTATTGGCAACCTCGACACTGGTATTATCTTCAGCTACCTATTATGGAGTAACTCCTATAGATATACACATTCATGTGTATATTTTGCTTGTATGAAATGACAATTACGAGTAGTCACTAAAACATAAGAAGTGACTCTCATATACTCATATGAAAATATAATATACTCATGCCTAGCTTTTATAAACTATTTAACTATGCTTACATTAGATTAACTACTGCCTACTGGTTAGGTGTTTGGCCCGAATCTGAGAGCTTCAGTGACGTAGGCTATGGACCGATTCCATCAAGATGGAAAGGTTCTTGTGAGAACTCCAATAACACGGCTGGAGTTCATTGCAACAGGTTTAATTATTGTCCACTGCTTCTATTTCTTGCTCAAGACTTGTAAATCATACTTTGGACCTAATGTACAAATTATGGAGTATGTGTTAAAACAATTGTATTTGCATGCCTAAATCATCTTAGGAAATTGATTGGAGCGAAATGTTTCAACAAAGGATACAAAGCTTCTGGTGGAAGTATTTCAAAATCAATGGAATCAGCACGAGACTACAATGGTCATGGGTCACACACCCTTTCAACAGCCGGAGGCAATTTTGTGCCCGGAGTAAGCATAAACGGTATCCCTTTTGGGACAGCAAAAGGCGGATCACCAAGAGCACGAGTTGCTTCATACAAAGTCTGTTGGTCTTCAATCGACGGAAGGGCTGGATGTTTGACTTCTGACTTGTTAGCAGGTTTTGACATGGCCATTCAGGACGGTGTTGATGTGGTCTCCATATCGGTTGGAGGTACAAGTTCTGACTACTTTGATGATGTAACTGCCATTGGAGCCTTTCATGCATTTCAGAAAGGTATTGTTGTGGTGTGCTCTGGTGGAAATTCTGGGCCTTACTCTGGCTCTGTCACAAATGTTGCTCCTTGGATTATCACTGTCGCTGCAAGTACTATGGATAGAGAGGTCCAGTGTTTGTTGAACTCGGTAACGGGCTCCGTTTCAAGGTAAACTAGCTCCATGGATTGTGGAATTAGGTTACTTTTACAAAACACTTGTACCAACATGAGGTCTAATAGTACCAATGGATAAATATAATTATTGATTAGATTACCTCATTTGAAACATGTATTCATATAGATTCATTCTAGTTAAATTTTTGCTTCATCATTGTGCAGGGTTCAAGCCTATCACAAGCATTGCCAAAAGATACACAATATCCACTAATCTCTGCTGCTGATGCAAAACTTGCCAATGCATCTGCTAATGATGCGGCGTAAGGACAATTTTTTTTTTTTTTCAATGTTAACAGTTTTAATACACATACCATTTTTAGTGACTGATTTATTTGTTCGTGTACATGTAGCCTTTATTGCATGGAAGGTACATTAGATGAGAAAAAGGTGAAAGACAAGATCTTGGTCTGTCTT